GGGGAATTGCCATAATAATTTAAAGTAAAAGTTTTTGCATTCCAAGAAGAGAGTATAAGGATGAAATGAAAATATTAGGACAAAAACGTCATATACTGTTAGCCGAATGGTGAAAACTAAAGCAACACAAGAAGAAGAAAGTGGCTAAACTGCCCTCAGAATGGGTCATATTGCAAAAGAATCTGTGTCCTACATTTTACAGTGTGTCATATTTTGTTTGTGTTACAAAAGTTGCAATTTACCAGCTCACAAAAAAATAAAGAAATAATGTCATCAGAGGTTATTTTTTCTCTAATTAACCAAGTATGATGTGTAAAACAGCTTTAACATTTAAAGTACACCAATGTTTACTCTTAAAGTACCACTGCAAGGACTGCAACAGTCAGAAATGTTACGATGCCATATATGCTGGCTTTAAAAGGCTAAAAGTAGATTTCAGTTTGAAAATAGTTTGTTGCAACATATTCTTATTTCTTTAAAAGGCCAAAATCAACACTTGATTATTTCTCCCTGCCGCCGAACTTCATTAGTGTCCAAAAACTATTAAACATATAAATAAACCACAGAGTCGGAAGGCTAGGTAATGAAGCAATCAGTGTAGATGCTGGAGTTCTTTTTCCAAGTAAATCCCACGTGCAGCGTCCTGCTGCTAAAAAAAAAAAAGACTCCCTGATAACACAATAAAAAGCTGTTTCCTTCTATTTGATTAAACTAAAAGAAAATACAACTGTGACCTGTTTTTGAAGGTTTAGTAAGTAGGTTTGGTACAACGGATTGGGCTCTTAGGTAGATAGATGGATTGTCTCTCATGTAACCTTGTCAACATCCATATATTAAGTTAGATTTAAAAAAAGACACAGAATGGACAGTCCAGGAGAGAGAGAAAGATAGAGAAAGCTAGTAGAGCCTGTGCTCTCCAAACATGGTTATTGAACAACAAATCGATCCTAAATAGATCTTTCTCAGCTTAAAATAAAGAAGTGAATAATGTCAGCATTGTTTGAAACTGTCAGTTGATTCTGTGTTTGGATTCTCATTAACATAGCATTTTTTTAGTCTAGCTGACCACTCAAAGCACTGTTACACCAGTAGCCACATTCACCCATACATGCGTACACCAAACCACCATCCTTCCAATCAATGAACAGCCCGCTCTCCCTCCTGATAAGCCACAGGAGGTGCATACACAGTAACGGTTCCTTAAGGGTTATTGTCTATTTTTGCCATGAGCTTTAGATGTGCGGACCTACCTGAGGCTCGGTTCAGAAGGCATACCCTCTTACAAAGGAAGTTAAGATGGAGGTGGAGGGGAGGTGCTATGTGGCTCCTGAGGACTGTAGTCTCCTCACTGGGCACATACATCAGCCTGATAGGACAGAACAGCATGTCAGCTTCACTCAGTCCATCTACTCAACAAAGCCACAATGTGACAGCCTCCTGTGCTACGTGTGAAGGGATGCTACCACACGTTACGCCTAATGCTGACTTCTCCCTTCTCTCAGTCAGGCGCACTGTTGACTTTGACAATTGTTAGAGCTGTTCTTTGAAGGCCTTTTCTTGTAAAGCCCGGGGACTGCGACAGCCACAGGCAGCTAGGCTTCAGTGAAGTGAATCAACAAGGTCAGCACTTCTCTAAACAAGCTGGGAGTCCAAATTACACCGAGTCCTTCTGGTGTAGCTACAACCTTGACATAATGTGCTACACACCTGAATCTTGATATCCCACAGATAATGTCCAGCAGCACAGAGAGGTCACTCGGAAATCCAAGCTGCTCTGGATACTCTGATTGAAACCCCACTCGCTTAGTGTACAAATAATAAGCTGACCTGGGTCTTCTCATACACCTGTTTTACAGAAGCAAGCCTCTGTATGTTTGCAGTTTATTTGATAGAGCCGAGTGTACTGCTGGTTTAGGTGTCATCCTCAGTGAGGTTTACTTATCGATCCATTCACGACTGACCTTCAGATGTATAGCCACAGGTAAGTGTTACTTAGTGATGAAGGAAAAACTTAACATTACCCTTGAGTCCAGCTGAACACATGCTAAAAACGTGTGATCCTGACATGGTGTTTTCAGGAATAATAATTATAATTAAAAAAGCAAATAAAATTGGAAATCATAATTTCCGTGTCTCCATAAATGTCTTCAGTGCTATTAGATTACGAGGTTTTCATAACATAGATCTAAAAATGATCTTACCAAGTGAAAAAATGAGCAGTGGGAGAGGTTAAACACGTCCGGAAGGCGGATAAATTTAGGATCTGATAATCACAACAACTAGGCCATTGTTCCCTGCAAAACACTGTAATCTCCTGACCGAAAACGACAGTGCAAATGTTGTCTTTTACGCACAGAAAACAATTAGGATTTACGCACGAAAAGCGCGCGAGGGAGCTGAATTGAGGAGGAGGAGGAGGGAAGGTTTGGGTTGCCAGATAAGCAGACACCCTTAGTGCATTAAGTGTCACTTTGAAGAAAAGAAGAAGAAAAAAAGCTCCCAGCTGTCAAAAGGTCTCCTAGCAACAGGCCAGCGCCTCGGTCCACAAACTACGGGGACGGAGAAGAGAGCAACCTCTTCTGTGCGAGCAGAATATCCTGTTGCATCCTTCGCAGAGCACAAGCACACGATCTGTACCAAATCCTACCCAGAGCACCTCACGGCTTTGGAGGAATTTACAGTATTCACCCCCTCCTCCTCCTCCTCCTCCTCTCTTAATGTGCCACAAGCTTACGCACCTCATATGAATGTGTTATGAGTCAGTCCCGTCCCCCTCTGGCGGCGCCTCCGTTACAGATCATTTGATCATTTGATGTCCGAGGTTGGGCTCCTTTTTTTAACATCAGCTGCGACACGAAGGGAGGGTGCAGCGGCGACCAGATGCGCTGGGTTATCACCAACACTTTATTGGTTACACTGTAGGACCTAAATTGTTACATTATAACCCCGCCTCTCCACGGCAGGTCACATGAATATGGACACAGTCGGGAGAGAGCGCCTCCAGGTGGATAATTGAGGCATGGCAAAGTGTTAGGGATGCCTCTGCGTGTGCTACATGCAGTATTGTAGACACTACTGGGACACCAGGGGTCCTTATTTCCACGGGGTGCCCGGCAAATTTGGCGATACTACGCTGCTCCACTGAAAGTAGCAAAAGAAGAAATATAACACTGTATAGTTGCACGCATCTGTGAGATCATTGTTACCTTTATATTTTTGATATCAGTATTACAGGAAACGTCAGTGCAGTTTTATCTGTATACGACTGCATTTTGTCACTTGCAAAACATCATGACACATTTTTAAATGGTAAAATCACCCACTTCCATCAAGTGGTATTTGGGGAAAATACAGAAATTATAGAATTATATTCTATAAGTTATGTTTGTTGTAAAAAATAGAAAAGTTGGTGTTTGTTAATAAACCCTCTCAGCTGTATTTTGCATTGTTTCATCCTTTATCTGCCGTCTGCACGTACGCCGCGTTTAAGTGCTTCCTGTCTATACTTACATTGTTACACTCGTTGGGGCATTCAACTGCTAGTTTAGTGACCTGTAAAGTTAGTATGTACAGTACGCCACTCTTTTAAAGATGAACTTTTCTATTCTAAGGCTATTATACACATGAAGTCCCCCACCAACAAACTACCGTGACTTTTAACTTAAAAAACAAAACAAAAAAAACTTCATATTTCCAATTGCACCTGAAAGCATCTTTAGTTCAGAGCAGCCGGACGGGAATAGTTGGTGGGAAGGTGCGGGAGCTTATCTCAGGAAACACGCTACCAAATTCCTCACCGGGCAGATCCTGCAACTATTCATAAAGTCAGCAGTGTCACTAACTCTTGGGTATTTGGGGGTAAGTTTTCGTGTTTCGCATTTTTACCCTCTCATAGGTTCTTTCTGCTTTGTTGTGGCGAAGTTGTTTCGGCCCCTTGTCCCATGGCAGCGACCGAGGCAGGGATGTTGACTGCACTGTCTCCCCACAGCTGGTGTGTCATTTACGGGGAAACAAACAGCTTTCCTGGCCGCCGTGGACTCGCGTATTGCTTTAAAACGTAATTAGCTTTCACATATGCAAGTAATTGGACAGTAATAGCAACTTATTATGTCTGTTTGTAGCCATGTCTCCATGGTATGTCGAAGTGTTGGTGGAACGTGTCAAATATTTACCCTGCTAACTATTCCTGGTATATCGCTAATATGCTAACCAAAGGGCTTATTAAGCATAAATTACTTTTTAGCTACTTTAGCACTATGAACCTCCTTGACTACATGCTGTACTTTGAGGACTGCTGAATTTTGTTGTACGTAGAAAAAGGGATGCTGTAATATTAAGCGCTTATCATCAGTGATAAGATCATCATCAGAGAGACGAGTACCTATATAAACGATGTGTCTCTTTAGTCTCAATGGACAAGAATTCTGTGCAAACTGATCCAAAGCTAGCCTTGCTCAAATTGTTAAAATTCAGAATATAACCAGAAGTTATATCAAATAAATGCATAATCTGTGGGCCCCTTGTTAGGTCACCAGGAACAAGCCTAAACCTACACATACTCTGTTTTTATGAAAGGCAAAACATCAGTGGGAAAGTACAGCAGGCTGTCTGCCGTTCAGGTTTCTCAGTGGCTCGTAAAACAAGTGTGTATGTGGAACTCTGACACTTTAATGTGAAGTTTAATGTGCATCAACAAGCCGAGACTCATTCTTCTGAATCAGCATGGATCTTGCGCATTCCCCACCCTGTGTAAAAAGCATGCACTCGAAGCCTGCGTGGGGATTGACTGGATTTTGGTAGCTTGATTCCATCTGACTGAGGAGTCTCTAAGCAGTGCTTCCCAAACAAAACTTCTCAAAGATTTTAAGACCTCAACGGACTTGTAAGGATGCACTGAAATCATGAAAATGTGTTTATTTTTTAAGTGACGGAACAATGCATGCCAGGTTGTTTTCCTAAAACTGAAATTGTGCAGTAAATGAGGTACTATTGAAAAAGAAAAACCTCTTAAGCTGGGATTTCTGAAGGGATATCTTGCTGAAAATTTGGTTTGTGTGTCCACTTCTCTGTGTGTCTGAAAATATAAACCTGTGTCACAATAAGTACCTTCTTTTCAGGGATGTGGAATTCCTATATGTGGCCTATAGGCACTTGCTGACTCACCATGAGAAAATTCTACCTGCTGCAGCGCCCACCAGCTCCACTGAGATGTCCCTGGGAGGAATGATACACGGATGACAGTCTGAACCAGGCCAAGACGTCCTCGCACGCAGTTAAAAAGAAACTCGAATTAGTTTATACACACACAAAAAAAGAACTGTGCACACGCTCACTCCTACTCACTCATCACAATGCTGATGCCAGGACCACTGTGGGTGTGCCTGGCACTGATGTGGGTGGGAAGCTGTCATGCCCACAGCCTGTTTACGTGTGAGCCTATCAGAGTGCATCGGTGCTTGGAGACGTCCTACAACATGACCTTCTTCCCCAACATGATGGGCCACTATGATCAGGATATCGCATACAACCGCATGCAGGTGAGCCTACAGCATGCAAGCATACAGTGATTAATTTTTATTTAAAGGTCCAGTGTTTTATGGATTAGGCGGGCCAAGCAAGCTAAGTATGTGAACAATTGTCAAAAATGATTCAACCCCACAGAACTTATTTTAAATTCTAGTAGAATTAATGTAAAATTAGGCTGAATTTGTTCAAAGTGTATATTGGGCTAATGCAGAGTTTATTGACTTATGCAGGGCAGCCTCTGGCCCACCTCAAAGGTTCTCATCAGTCTTGGTTTCCATGGAACATTGAAAAAATGCTTCCTCTCCTTATAATTGGAAATTATACTTCAGGCCACATTCAGCCATGATGAATATCATGTCCATATAATTGCCATTATTAGTGCCATCAGCGCTGTTTGTGGCTCCGGTTACTAATTGACGGTGTCTCTCAGCCCATACTGAAGCACATATTGATTGAAATATAATTACCATTTTGTAATGGACTTCAACTGACACACAGTATTTACCAGCCACAGTTTGTCCACAAATCACATCTGATTGTTAAAAAGAAATAGCTAGTGATTAAACTGTGAATCTGTCCACTTAAATTTTAAAGGGAAGCTTTTAAGAGACCTTTGCGGTAGAAGAAGGCTCTGCTTAGGGTTCCTCTTACAAGAAAAAGAAGTTAAGAAAGAAGAACATTCTTAGTTATAACAAAAATGTGTCACAAGCTTTAATCACTGATTAAGTCCAAAACCAAAGTCCAAAAATCACAAAAACAAGAGGCCAGATGGGGAGCAAAACAGGTGCAACAAAGAGAAGGCCAGGACGATTTTTATTCTGGAGGCTGATTAAGGAATATCAGACAGGAGGGAGACGAGACACAGGTGGAAGTAATTACACACAGCTGAGCACAACCTGGAGGAGACCGTCAGGAAGCAGCACACAGGATGTGAAGAAAATGAACCGTCAAAGCTAAAGAGGAAATGACCAAAGCAGACGTAAAGTTCTACAAGAGAAGAAAACACAAACCACAAATACAGAAATGAGACAAAGAAAAACACAGGAAAGAACATTATTACAACTACAAATACACAAGGCGTGAACCAGAATTTAAGCTATACAAGATGGAGCTTATCACTATAATAAGGTATCTATAATAGAACAGCAACATAATAGGACAACAATGAAGCTAAATATGGATTAAACACTCAATATCAGCAGAGCTAAGATTCACAGTTCACTTTACAGGAAATCAGCTCAGACTCACCCTAACAATAATCGAAAGCCTGCAGCAGCGACACCAAACAGAAAGTACTTAATTAATAACAAGTAGAAATCCAAAAACTCCATTCTCCCTGGCAGCTATAAGATTTCCACTGGGCTTTGCTAATGAGGCAAAAATGCAATAGAAGTGGAAGGATGTGAAATAGCCATCAACACACAGTAAACTTGGAACGGTATTTATCAGAAAATCCATGGCTCTGAGCCGATCAGTGGAGCCAACAGCTAATTCTGCACGCTAAGCTGAGAGGCAGCTTTCTTTTTTAGGTTAATCAACATTTTTCAGCTCATTACTTTTGCAATTTGTGGGTTTCTTGTTGATCTTCTGATAAGCCAAGTCAGTTTAGGGTTTTTTTCTTCATTTGCATGCACTCATGCGATTGCATGTAAGTATAGGTGGCTATGGGGTGCATTTGGTCTTGGTATTGGCTGTTGCGTGACCACTTTTCCATCAAATTAGTGGGTGATGTTCTGAGTAACACCTGGATGACTGACGAATGGTTGAAATGAGGCATGTAATCCGAATCCAAGCTAAGTTAATTTATCCTTATGTAAGAAATGCCTTTATCAGTTTTGGAACATTATTATCGGCATTTTTCAGGTATGTTTAAAATACCATATGCAAACATGTTATCAGGGTTTTTGAACTTTCAAAAGTCAATATCCAGATTGGCTCAAAATATCCAGTTATTCAGTGTATAATCTTGATTCAGGAAGAAAAATGACTTAATTGTGTTTGTGTTCAACAGAATAAGCGTACAATTATAACAGAAAGCACAATCTAACAACCTAACATCAAATATGTTTGATGTTAGGTTGTTGTTTGTATTTCATTTCTCCAAAATTCTGTCTTCATCATTCGAAACTGCAGGAAAGAAAGATAAAATCCTTTTCTTTTCTTTTTTACTGTGACTTTATTATTTTCTTTCATCAAATAGACTAATAGAATACCTGAACTCTGATTTTTCTCAGCTCTTGGAAAAATCTCCTGTCCCTTTATTGTTTAAATTCAGGTCATGATTCAGATCACTGGGTAACATTTGGGCTGAGTTCAAGGACCTGTTGTTGTGAAATGACTGTCTGATCATTTGTTGGTATCAACAAATTAGGAAAAATCTAACACAAGCTAAGAGGTCTAGCTGTATATGTAGAAGCACCTATAAGCTGTGCTCTTGTATAAAGGTTTATAGACTGTACAGGGCTATTATGTGCTCCAGTCAGTATTACACAACAGAAGTCAGTAGACCATCTCTTAGCAACAGTAACTCTCAAATGACACTGAACTGGTGTAATTAGAGATTTACACCCTGCAGTTTAAAATTTTGTTCCACGCATAGAATACAGAAATCAGTCTTCTTTTTCATAGTGGAAAAATATGCTTAATATCTGCTCAGATTTAGAGAATTCTAATCTTAAATTTGACTTCTCTTCAGACTAGTATTGTTTTCGCTTTACCACCCTATCACCACCCTTTGCAGTGACTAAAGTCTACGTTTGTGTAACTGGTGTTTCAGCTTTGCTCCGTCAACCCTGTGACACTTTGGCTAATGTGCTTTAAGACCATTTGTTGTCTTGCACATATCCTCAGCAGAAATGTTGTTTCTCTAGCTGTTGCATCCTGTCTCCTGGCATTCCTGAGGGTTTGGGTTACGCACATTTGGTGTGGAGTGTTGAGCATGATCTGTAGGAGTCTTTTGTGTGGCATCTGGCAAAGGTATCAGCTTCTTATTTCATGGCAACCTTGGCCACGGGCAACTTCAGTGACTTTGTTGTGAGGGCCCTTTGATTTCTGGAGGAAGGGGAGGGACACACCCAGTCGCACACAAAGCCTGCTGTGCATACCACAAGGAGTATCCTCTGTCTCTTAATACCCCCTCCCCCCCCCAACACACACACACACGGTCCTACCTCCGTAGTCCTGTCTCCCAGGTGACAGGTTTACACTCTCTGGCCTTCATTCAACGTTAAATACTAAACATAGCCCGCTTTGAACATGTGCAATGATTTATCACAAAGCTCTGACACTGGAATCAGGCAGGTTTCTGCTTTATTCTGGGCACAGGCCAGCCTATCAGTAGGATTTTCCGGAGGAGGGCTAACCTTCCACCAGTGTTTGCCAGCTTTGGAAAGAGCAAAAACTTTGAAGTGTTAGAATATAGAGAGAATGGAAAGACAAACTGACACACTATAACGGACACTCGGGGGCCTTGACAGTTTGAGTAAAACTTTGAAAAGTAAGAGTCATCTTTTAAAAAAAAAAAAAAAACTTCACTTAATACTTAAAGTACATTGTGCAGAAATTCTCTGCGAAGGATTTTGCCCTAAAGAGCAAATCAGCTCAGATTTTGCTGCTGATCCTGTTGGAAGGTTTTTGAAATGAGGGCAGTTTTTACAGTAAGTGCTCTAAAGAAAATAAAGGTCAGATTGTTCAGCCATGAGGAGCCTCAAGTCCAGGACCTGCAGAGGAGAGAAACAAGGACGCTTAATGTCTGAGGGGGCAAGCCCAGGGCCCAGAGATGTGGGCCTGGAGCCAGAAAAAGCAGAGAAGAGAAAACATCAACTAGTGCAATATGCTCAAGTGTGGATTTTCTTTGCACATATCGGCAGTTTAGATTTACAGCAAGCTATCCAGTGATGAGGTCGAGAGTGTGGAGTACTCTGAAATACACACAATACAACACAGCACAACACACTTAGTCTGTGCTAATGCATGCCTGTCACTATTAACTGGTTATGTATTGAACATGCATATTACTCCAAGTGATGTAGCTGGTGTCGATCCAAAAATAATAAGGCTGTCCTCCACACATATCCTCAGCAACCTTCCCATGAACAGCTCTGTGCATTCCAGCTTTCTTGGCCTGTCCCTGGTTGTTTCCAAATGTCCGCACTCTCATTTCCTGCCACCTATACCCCCCCTTCCAATGCTCTGGTTGGTTATGGTTTCCGGCCAATGAATGGACAGTTTTGTGTGTTACTATAGTGTACTGTTGCTTATGTTGCATAAATATTTTCACCCACTTTTGCTACCCTGATCATTTGTAATCTCAGTGCTTATTATATTACAATGTCCAGTCATGCAGACTGCACTTATAACACAAGTAAAATCATTATATTTATGCCTCTTTTCCAGTTGCATTTACAAAAGTAATTTCACAATCTTACAGGTTACTGTCTGTCTATTTTTCAGAGGAAAATGTTTAAAAACTTCAAACTGTGCAGACTGCTACCTACACCTACTCCCCCAGCACAGCACAGTCTGTGGAAATACTGGATTCACCAGTGTAGGCAGACTGTACATAGCTGTAACATCATGAAAATGCTTTGGAAGCTCTTCAAAGAAAAGTTATAGCTGGAAAATTTAGATTTAAGCTACTTCAAAGGGTTTTTTTAGGGAATGCTATATAACTCATGCACGCACATGTGAGTGTTCAGGTCACGAGTAGGGCTGTCAAGCCTTCAAAACTGTCAGTATATTCAAAATTCTTAGGTGATGTAACTTGCATGTAAACTTAATGGAAGAACAGAGTGCAATAATAGTTGTTATAATGGAAAACTGACTTTTAATACAGTATGTTTAATCTCTTCAATTTCAGCCATTTATGCCCCTGATAAACCTGAAGTGCTCTCCAGATGTCCACCACTTCCTGTGCCAAGTCTTTATCCCAGCATGCACCGAGGAGAACAAGGTGATCCACCCCTGCAGGGAGCAGTGCAATGCTGTTCGGTCCGACTGTGAGAAGAACATCCACACCTTTGATGTCCCCTGGCCTCCTGAAATGTGTGAAAAGTAAGAAAATATCCTTCCCCGGTTTCATTACCCACAATTCATGTTGAGGCACTTATTCTGTTATATTGTTATTTATGCTCTAGATTGGACCCTTGCAGTGTGCATGGTTCTCCAGTCCCTTTAACCACCCCAGCAATCTCCTCATCAGCTAAGAGAGAGCTGGGCTTCTGGTGTCCATTGCAGCTAAAGACCAAGCCAGGTCATGGCTCATCATTCCTAGGTGCCCAGGACTGTGCTCCACCTTGCTCCAACATGTACTTCAAACCCCATGACATAGAATTTGCAAAGAGCTTCATCGGTGTGTGCTCCATCATCTGCCTGGGCGCCACACTCTTCACCTTCCTCACATTCCTTATTGACGTCAAACGCTTCCGTTACCCAGAGCGGCCCATAATCTTCTATGCTGTGTGCTATAGTTTTGTCTCGCTCATATACTTCATCGGCTTCCTGCTGGGAAACAATGCAGCCTGCATCAAAGCAGCCAATCCTGCTGGGGTTGACACAGTGGTGCTGGGCTCTCAGAGCAAAGGCTGCACTCTGCTTTTTATGCTCCTCTACTTCTTCTCCATCGCCGGTATCGTCTGGTGGGTTATACTCACCATCACCTGGTTCCTGGCAGCCGGCCCCAAGTGGAGCTGTGAGGCCATTGAGAAGAAAGCGGTAAGGTTCTTAAGTATTTAGGTTTGTTTCCTAGTAGCAAATAGGAAGCAAACACAACAAGGAAATATGTGCAGTTACGGCTCAGTCAGTATTTTTATTTTGTCTAAGGTGTGGTTCCACTCTGCTGCCTGGGGGATCCCTGGGGCACTCACTGTCATGCTGCTGGCTCTGAACAAAGTTGAAGGAGACAACATCAGCGGTGTCTGTTTTGTGGGGCTCTACGACCTGGATGCACTGCGCTACTTTGTACTGGCGCCACTGTGCGTGGGCGTCATAGTCGGCCTCTTCCTCATCCTGGCAGGTATCGTTTCTCTGAATCACGTCCGTCAGGTCATCCAGCATGATGAGCGCAACCAGGAGAAGCTTAAGAAATTCATGATTCGCATCGGCGTGTTCAGCTGCCTCTACCTGGTCCCGCTGGTCACCCTGCTAGCCTGCTACACCTACGAACAGAGCCACCGCAGCAGCTGGGAGAACACCTGGATAAACGACCGCTGCCAGGAGTATAGCATCCCCTGCTTAAACCAGGTTGTTGTGACTTATTCATTCAGTAAAGATAGGGTGAAAATTTAGGACAAGCTTTTTTAGACTGCTGAAAAAGGGCAAAACCAAAGCACAGTGAAAATTTCATAAAACTGATCAGGGCTCAAAAGGATCCAAATGGCTCCTCTGTTTAAAAATCCCAATTATTAAATATCTATAATGTCCTGCACAGTATAGGGATTCCAAAATCAAGACTGTTATGACAGATCAGTGTGGAAATAACAGACGTCTTAGAAGCTGCGGTACCTCAAAAATGTAGTGCAGAATACATGAGTTTTCTTTAATTTATTAAATATAATTTTTCCACATTAAAATAAATAAAAGTAAAAACAAAGAACAAGAGGTCTTTATATGAATCACAATTTATTGCAGGGTTATAAATTTTAAAAGAGATGGTGGGGAGAAAAAATTGGCATCATCAGTTTGTCTCAAGGGCCAAATAAGCACACTATTTCTCCCTCTGTTATTCTCACAATTCTCTTTGGAGCCGTATACAATATGTCATCTGTCTCAGGATATGTTTGACAATATTAACACTAACACAGCATCTTGTAATGGGGGTGTATCCAACATAAAGTAATGTCAAACTTCTGCAAACATTAAAGCAAAAGACTTTCGAAATAATTCCCACAAATCCCCAAAACATAAAGGTGCAAGTCCAAAACATATGGACATTATTTACCATTTTTTCCTCAATCAAGCCAGTTGAGCGCCAGTTTGTTCGGACTTCTGTTTAGGAGCGACCAATTGATTGGAAGTGCTTTAGTAGTGCAAGAATTATACATCAGTGGATATCTGTATGGTATGTGGAAGATACAATACGTGAGCTCTTAAGAGCTGCAGTGGGAAATAGCTTAGTCTTGTTTTGACAGTCAGTACCTGATGCCTGTACTGGAAATGCTTGACTTTGTCTTAAGTAAGAAATTCAATTTTTTTATTTAACCAGTTGCTCTAAATCACAAGGATCTCATTACCATTGAGTTTGTTACTGTTTTAGACCACAGATCATGAACGCCCTGACCTCTCCCTGTTTCTGGTGAAATACTTGATGACATTGGTGGTTGGCATATCTGCAGTATTCTGGGTCAGCAGTAAGAAGACCTGCTCTGAGTGGGCCTACTTTTTCAACAGGACCCGCAATAAAGAGTAAGACACAACTCTGACCACAGCAAAACACGTGGAAGATCTTTCACACAGTCACTGATGGAGTGAGAATACGGTATTCTAGATCAGCTGTTATGTGTTTAATCCCATGTCATGTGACCCACAGCCCCATCAGCGAGAGCCGTCGGGTGCTCCAGGAGTCCTGCGAGTTCTTCCTAAAGCACAACAACCGGGTTCAGCACAAGAAGAAGCACTACAAACCCAGCTCCCACAAACTCAAGGTCATCTCCAAGTCCATGGGCACGAGTACCGGAGTCACGCCCACCAGTGTCTCCACCACCAGCAATCAAGGCACCTCTGCCTTAGGCAACCATGAGCCCCACATGCAAGGTTCGCTGTCTGAGACCTCAGTCAGGGAACACCTGGACCGAGGCACCTCCAGTCGAAGCTCGAGGAGAGGGGAGAGAGATAAGGAAAGAGAGAGGGATGGGGGGGAGAGACGCAGCAAAACGGGGAGCTCCAGTAAAGTCAGCAGTCGCTCAGAGAGCTTGCACAGAGTGGCAGATGGGAGGTAAGTAGGAGAGGTGTGAGATGCCATTTTTGAAATGTTGAAAAATTGATTGTATATGTACAGTTCCTTACATTCTTTTTACTGCATTGTGTATTTTACATGGCTGCTTTATGCCTCTCTGTTGTTAGAGTCGAATTTATAATGCTTGAATAACTTACTGTGGCCCCAGTCTGTCCTGCACTGTAACATTAGACAAGCATTAACCAGCAGTAATCTGTGATGTGTCCTGGCTGGTTTTAGGGCAACTCCAAGGAGCGAGCTATCAGAGGTCAGGCACATTCCCTGCGAGAAGCAACAGCTTTCAGCTTTAAACCCAGCACATACCAGCAGCCTCCAAGACTCCAGCCACCAGATGGTGCTCCAGGTGCCTGAGGAGAGCAAGGACCCAAAGGACAGCAGCTGCTGAGATATCTGACCTTTCAAATTTGTCTGCTCATCCATCCACCCATCCATGACACCAGTCACATGGGAGTCATGCTTGATGCTGGTTGTTGTTCCCATTGTGGGATTTTATTGAATACACTGGAGTGACTGAATGGAAACAGAACAAAACTTGTATTTCAGATGTTCTGAGGGTTAGCCCACATCTAACGGTGTTTGACGATTTAGTCTGTTTAAGTCATGACTTTGTCTTCCAGCTTTACTCATTGTTTGACCTGAATGTTGCAGCAGCACAGCTACATGCATTGGGTCTGCTGTTTTTTATAACTTGCGATTTCAGTGGCATATATGCATGCTAGTAAACGATTGCAATATTTATGTAAATATTCTCTTTTTTTATATCTCATATATTTAGTCGTTCACTGGACTGGTCGCCACACTGAGAGTTTAATTGTTAAGGTGAAAATATTGCCAAATATTGAATCCAAGGAAAGTCTTCCTGTGATAAAGTGTCTTTAAATGTCCTATTGTTCTTAAAACGTCATCCTGTAAAACACACTGTGTGTCACTCCTTTGAGGCGTACTCTTAAACTTGATATAGCTGATTTTCAGAGAACTTGTGATTTTATTTTGAATACTTTTCTTAAAAGAGACATATATTTTTTCCATTTTCTGGTCATTTCTCCATGTTTTTGTTACAGAAATGCATGCTGTGCTGAACTGTCTTCAAAGCTGTGAATTTTGGTGAAATACAGCTTTGAAGCTTTCTAAAAGAATGTATTTTTGCTTAGAAAATCTTGTCATGATATCTGAGTTTTACTTCATAGTTACTGTGGCTAGAGAAATATATGACATCATTGAAATATCAACAGAAAATGAACAAAATGAACTTGACTTATTTCAGTAATACTATCAATCAATTTCATCTTTACTTTTTATTACTGTGTTACTTTTCTCTTTTGAAATATTGATGAAAGAGCACCTTTAAGTTCATTTTTTTAACTAAATTGATTAGTTGGAAATGATTGAAAATCAAATGCATGAGTTCATGTTTTTTTAAAACTTAAAGGCAGAAATTAAGATTGGAGCGTGCATTTAAACTGAAAGTACGAGTGCATGGACATGGTGGGGGAATGTTTTATTTCTGTAAAACCATAATCATGATATTTCATTTTCTGATACCAGGGTTATATATAGTTATCACGATATCCCTATAGTATCAACAGTGTATGAAATCGAGGAAACAAAACAAGTTTTGCACTATTTGTCATTAGTAGCATTATCCACTGATTACTAAGTTGTCATAAATAAATAGAAAGATTAGTTTTGGGATCATTTATGTTAAAATAAAAAAAAAAAAGACCACATGCAGCATCTCTACTTCAAGTACCTCCAGAACAACATCTGTGATTCATTAGGAGTGCCTTACTGTGCTGTCTGTGTGCTGTGTAAGGGACTGAGCTACCCCTCAGTTCACTTAGATTTATTTGGGAGTGAAAGGACAGTTCCAGTAACACTAAAAGGGAATCTTGTATGTTTTCTATGTTATGTTCCTATTCTGACATGTGGATGAGGGTCTTTCTTATGACGTATGTAGCTCTACTGTAGTCTTATCAGTACTCCAAACATTTTGTGAACTGTTTTTTTTTCCTTTTTTTTCCTTTTCAATACAATTTTCTACCACTGTTGTTTCATTTTGATAAAAATATTCAATTAAACATGGAAATGAATGTGACCGTGTGTGAGTCAGTTATTAACCCTAACGTTACTCTCACAGTTATGTTTTCCCTGGAGTGCGTTTCAGTGAGGTGACTGGCTCCTTCCCCCTCTCCTGGTCCAGCCCTCTGGGCTATAACCGGCTGGAGTCGCGCAGAGCGCACGGTAGTCGGCCGTCTCTGTCGCACGCGTGATGTCTCCTCTCGCTGTCCGCCTGCTGCTGCTCGCCTGCCTGGCTTTGCCTCTTTATGCGGTGGAAAAGGTGAGAAGCAGAGGCTACCGAAAGGATCCTGACGCCGACAAGGTAAAAGGGGTTAGATAAGATTACCGTGTAGCCGTTAACGACAGCTTCCAAAATAAGTAGACATGTGGCAGGAGAGGAGTGGACAGATTTTGTGGCATCATAACTCTGGGAGAGAAAAAAATGGCTCACGTCAACATGTAATTATAACACTCAGCTTTACCGTCATTTAGTTGTTTTTCGGTGCATCCCATTTAACATCCACTGACTATTTTGCCTATTTTTCCAACTCATTCTGGGCTTCTTTTTTCTAGCGCTATGCACTGCTATTTTTAAATTGTATCTTTAAACATTAGAGGGAAGGGAAAAAAAGTTTTAAAAGATTTATCCACGTGTAGAATAGTGTGGACAGCAGCAGATCAGAAAATCCCACTTTTGTAGCTGTTATACACTCAGCTGCTTTTCTATTATACTCCAGACCAGATCTGGCTGTCCTCCATGATTGAGTGGACATAAGGGGGGACTAAACAGGAAGTTGTGGTCTGCCTTGTACTGTTTGCTGGCCTTTGTTATCCATCCGACTGTTTGAATAGTTTATAAGTGGGTGCAATTTGGGCAAAAAACTTAAATGTGCTTTAAAGCTGGGTAATATATTTTTAACAGTACCCAAGGCAGAATTCAACTGTTTAATTTCACAGTCCCACGATACCTATGAATCTTACATTGTTTATGCATAGGATTTCATAACCCTCAATGATGCATCTGTTTAGTGATTGAAGGAACCAACTGGACACACAGATGTCGAATCTTTTAGGAATCAAACAGAAGTGAAACTAGTATTTATTTTTCTGGACCCTGTCGAGCCCGCCCAAGCAGTTTCTCTTTAATATTCCACAACCGTGACCACAGTGATTTAATTTTAAAAAAGAAGAAAGGAAAAAAAAAAAACTTATGTCACCATCTGTGTCTAGTGCACTGGAAACGATGCCGAAAAACCCAACTGCACTAGACACTCTGGAGAAGAAAGATCTGCTTACTTGGCCAACATGGTAATCACGAAAATACTGCTTTGCATCTCATCGGCTTCCTTTCAATCTAAAAATCGCTCAAAGCTGAGCATTATACCCACGCTCCGCTCTGCATGCTCCAGGAGAGCTTCAGGCCCTGCTTCTGTGTTGACTAACGCATAAAATGCTCCTGATTCCTCAGCTCTTCGGGTCAATTGCAGCCTTTTAGTTTTCCAGTTACAGTAGCAGACTGTACGCGACTAATATTCAGCAGGGCTGGAGTGTAATTCATGCAGGCAGCCAGCACCACTATAGAAAGAGCAGACTGGGAGCTAATATAAAAGTCAGCTGTGTGGCGAAGTGGACAGAGGATCCATTCATTACTCTGCTTTGAAAGCTCTCCAAAAATCTTAGTAAAACACCAGGACTTTTTCCTTACTGGAATATCTACCCAACTCCAAGACTAATGGGGAGTCCTTGCATCGTTTCCACGTTTTGCCACCTAATTTTGCCAAGGTGCATGAAAGCCATGCTTCCAGCTTTATTTAGTTTCATGCATACAAACCCACAATCTACTGCTGTCATCAGACACTTCCCAGACTTCTATACAGATGATGTCAGGTCTCACATCTCCAGGTTGCTCCAGCGTTAGCCGCGTAATAGCTCAAACAGACACTGGACCATCTGTTTCACAGCAGCTGACGTTAAATGCTCTGACTCTCTAACTTTCAGGCATTTTTCAGATTTACATCATCTGAAATACTTTTTTTTTAACTTCACCCCAGAGATTTAAGTCTGGTTAAGATGTTGGTGTAAAAGCTCTTTGTTCTCCTCCTCTGCTTTTTTTTCTCCTTGCCCTAATGCCTTTTGGACACATGCTCCCCTCCTACTCTCCATAACTACTTCACAGATGCATACTGAGCAAAAGGGAAACAATGACCTTCCAAAAATCTGCAAAATGCTTTCAGCTTTCATGCTTACTTAAGGGCGAGGAGACATTTCTGTATGTCAACTTGTGTCCCTAATTGCTTACAAAGGAAAAGCCACCTCCACCTAAAAAAAGCTTGAACCTACACGACACACTGCAATCTACTGGTCAGAGCGTCCCTTTGAGGAGCACGTTAGGCAGATCTATTTAGATCCTCATTGTGTCTATATTTGCATGTGGTAAGGCTTGGCAAGCGCCCCCCGTCTGTGTGTGTGTGTTTGCGTGGGTTTGAGTCAGCCTGAGTAGGATGCTGCGTCTGTTTAAACATAGCAGAAGGTTCAACAGGACAATGAATCACATTAAGTGATGAGTGGCCAGACAGCCACTAATTTAGGCCACTGCCGAGCCTTCAGTTCCTCATTAACAGCAGAGCTGTGTTTTGCTTGCTCGGCGGCTTCATGGTTGCTGGTCCTGTTGCTTTGGCTTGATTTGGATAACACGGCTTTTTGCACTTCCTTCAGCACAGTTGTTTGTGTGATGTGTAACCTGGCTCCTTGTGTGTGATGGTTGGATGGATGGCAGCATTTAGGTGTCTGTGGTGCATGCAGTTTAAACAGGGATTTAACCTCACTGGGAGAAAGACAGTCTTAAAACAGGAAGTCTGATAACAATAGATTCTGTTGTTGTCATGTTGTTGTAGTATGGTTTTGTTTCACTATGTCTTCTTCTCCTTGTTTCTTTTTTCAGTATGGTAGCTGCCTGCAGGGTCCAGCAGGCACCGCTGGAAGAGACGGTAACCCTGGGGCCAACGGCATTCCTGGGACGCCTGGTATTCCAGGCCGCGATGGACTGAAAGGCGAGAAAGGAGAATGCGTTACTGAAGTTTTTGAGGAACCCTGGAAACCCAACTACAAGCAGTGTGCCTGGAACTCGCTGAACTACGGGATCGATCTGGGTAAAGTGGCTGTAAGTATCTCACTGTATCTGTGGGGAATGCGGGCATTTCAATCACTGCAAACACACATTAAACACACACTTATGCTCCATTCTGCGTCGCAGGACTGCACGTTCACCAAGCTGCGCTCTGACAGCGCCCTCAGAGTCCTCTTCAGTGGCTCTCTCAGACTCAAGTGTAAAAACGCATGCTGCCAGAGGTGGTACTTCACCTTCAACGGAGCGGAGTGCATAGGACCACTGCCCATAGAGTCAATTATTTACTTAGACCAAGGCAGTCCTGAGCTCAACTCAACCATCAACATCCACAGAACTTCCTCAGGTACGACACAGACTCTGAACAATACTATTTCCCACCTCACGGTGCTAGTAATGCTATGGAAAGAAACATTAACTGAAGTGGAATTTCCTGTATTAATGTCAGGTCTTCATCCAAGTCCTAATTATGAACAAGCACAAAATATTTTAGCTCATAATGCATGAATAGTTGCGCTTTTTTCGTTCATGTTGAAATGTTAGGAAAAGGAATGAACCCCTAAGCCAAGAGTGTCAAACATAAGGCCCCGGAGCCAGAATCAGCCCAGTAAAGGCTCAAATCTGGTCCTATTTCACAGCTTTGGAAAATGTGAAGTAAGGCAAAAGTTTAGGATTTTTAACTGTATTTTCATAAGTTTTACAGGTTTATCAGTACTGATAAAGACCTCCCCCATGGCCATTTATGCTACACCAAAGTCATTAGGTATAGGATTTAAAAAACATTTTGTAGAAATAGAAACTGTAGAAATTTCTTTACAAAAAAACCAAAACAATGATGCATAATATAAAAAAGAACATTTTCTATTTAACATGTCCATGTCTTACACTCTTAGCCTGAAGAATTGTGCTGACAGGTTTTTCTCTTCCATTACAGAAGCATTTCTTTATCACATAGAAAAAGAAAAAACTAGGATTACCTGTTAAAACTGTACTTCCTTTTCTTATTTTAACATATCTTGGGGATTGAATGCGCAATTAAACTTCTTTACACTGACAGAAATGGGAATTCCACTGGTCAGGCTCACTTAAGATCAAAAAGTTTGACATCCATGCCCTCGGCTGATGGCATCATCAGAGTTGGAGTCAGGAGTTACCAAAGGTGAAAGCAGGGTGGTGGCACCATGATGTCTTGAGCTCTTCTGCTGCCTCTGGGCCTGCACAGCTCACCATGCTGGCTGGAGCAATAACTTTAAACATCAACGTCAAGCTAGTGAAGAATGTCTTCAAAGAAAATCCACCTTTTAGAGAAACCAAGTCAGAGGACAGAACTTAAAGATAGGAATAACCTCAAGAGAGCCGTTCACAAAAAAGCGTCCTGAGAAGCAGTTGTGTGAAGAGTGACACAAATTTCCTGTTGAACATTTAGTCTGTTGCTGCTGCTAGAAACAGTTGCTTCCCACCATAAAAAGAGAGAAAAAAGTCCAAGCAGTAATTAAATCCAGTGGTTCACATGAAGGACATAAGGACGCTTAGATTTTGTAGTTTACATTTTTAGCTGTACTTCAGACCAATTCATGTTTTTTTACACTAAAATGAAAACTGTGTGCACACTCCAGCAGCTAGTTAGGCTACAACAAAGTCCTGGGGGGAAACAGCTACTTTCTCCCATTTCTTGTAAAAATACATTTAATGTATTTTTAATACATTAAATGTTGTTTATTAGCCTTCTACGACCTGATGTGCCAAGGCTGACATGACAAACCAAACCCCCTTCTTTACTGCGATTTGGGCGAGTAACAGCAGCTCCAGTTCTTTCAGAAACTGAGAGATGAACACCTGGAGACTTTTTCTGGAAAGTGCCCAAAAGGGCTTGTATAGATGTGTAGAACAGTTCACTTCTCAGATTCACAGTATTAGAGCGTTAGATTCATGTGCCTCACACACAGACTGTGTGTGAGATTTACAGCCAAAAACATGTTGGGACAACCTGTTTCAGCTGCAGGTTTTGAAGGGTTAAAGTTTTTTTTTTTTTTTAAAGAAAAGACTGGGGTTATTATACGGGGTTATCAACTGAAACAACAGTTTAGAGCATCAAGTTTCTGCTCCTCAAATTGTTCATGGAGGAAGTGAAGAAGCCACAGCTCACAATTTATCACCCTTTTTTGCTTTGGGACTTTTAGAAAGTGAGGCTGGCTCTACCCTAGCTTCAGTCCTTTTAAGCTAAGCTAATGAACAGCCTTAAATTAACTGCACAGACATGACAATAGTGTTGACTGCAGACATGAAAGATTATATGGTTTTAATTTTTTTTTATTTCTGTTTTTAAACCTGAAAGGCCCAGTTTTTCACCACTGTGTCAGAAAACAACTTGTCTCGGCGTTCGGTTTGGGTGTTCCCTGAAATTCATTTGCACCGTCTTCTCTTTTTTTTTCCCTCTCCGTCTCTCTCTCTGCAGTTGAGGGGCTGTGTGAGGGTGTCAAAGCAGGGCTGGTTGATGTGGCGGTGTGGGTGGGGACCTGCGCTGATTATCCAAGAGGAGACGCATCCACAGGCTGGAATTCTGTATCCAGGATTATCATAGAGGAATTGCCTAAGTAAGGAAAATAAAGCAATGCGATTGGGAGGGACCTAGTTTTGGTAGCGTGACAGCATGTTATCCGACGCGCCACAACGATCAGGTGTGGTTTGCTGAGGCGTCACTGATGGGAACGTGAATGTTTTTGAGTTTTGTTTAAATGCTACACCCGTCGACAGGCCTACGATTACTGTACTTTTCTGTCTCCCGGAAATAAACTTTGTACTGTAGCTTTTTCAGCTTGTGGCTGCTGTTAAGAGTACAGCAACAGACATGGACAGTATCTTTAAACTCTGTACTCCTGTGACCTGTTTATATGCATTATCACTGTTAATAAAGCACTTCTTTTTTAAGGAAATGTTACTTCTCACTTCTGAAACACTGCAGAAGTGTAGTTGCTTTGTTGCCTGTGTAGCAACAAAGTAACATTTAATGTATTCACATGAATCAGGCATGAGACTGCATTTAAAGCACATTTTAGATTTTATAATAAAATCTTATAAAGCACAGCCGATACAATGACACTAAAACGTCAGGGAAAAAAAGCACTCATCAGGCAAATCATTTCACACATCTGCAACATCTGAACCTGAGCCGATCATGAATTTGATGTTTATAATGAAGTTTTTCATAGTTGAGACTGTATCTCTCTGTTGCCAGAAAGCATAAAGTGTAAACAAAACTGCTGCATGATGAAATATTCATCCACCTCTTTAGAAAAGACCCTCACAAACAAACAAAAACAAACTGTTAAAGCAACATTGTCCCCATAAAGGTGAACAGCAACAGACAGGCTCCCTATAACTTCATTGTGCGTCTTCCATTTTTCACCGACTGTCAGGAAGTTGTATTGAAAAAAAACTGTTGCTGCTCCATTTGGCAACACTTATTTTCAGTGCACATGAGTGATTTTCACTTCAGCACATTTACAAGTACTGGACGATGACAGCTTGGCGTCGATCAACACGGTCCTCCCCTGCATCTCCTCCGCACGGCGCCAACGTGTCAGCACGAGTTTGCAGCATTCGGGGCAGTCTGTGCCCTGCTTTTAAAACCTCATTTATTTTGCCCGAGAAAAAAGTGAGACACGTTCTCGTAAACCACGAAGGTGATGCAACAGGCTGGGGTGACGCGGATCAAGTTGGGGATGATGCCTTTGTAGAAACCAAGGGCACCTTCATTCCTGAGGAGACAAGTTGTAAAATGTTAAGCATCAATCATAACAGGCACTTGAACTGTGCTCAGAACCTGAGACGGGGCCGGCACGCTCGGTCCCACTGTGAGTGGATCGGTGTCTTACCTCCACGTCCGTCTCACGACGTCAATAACTCCATTGTATCTATTGTGCTGGTCTTGCAGGCGAGCTCGCACCACTTGATATGGGTATGTTGTGGCCACGGCAAATATTTTGGATAATGCTGCCATTGTGATGTATTCCAATGGGTTCTGTTTGCACAGACAGATAAATGGAAGGAGGAAGAAGGGAGCAGAGCAGTGTAGGAAAACTGATGAGTCACTTGTTATCAACTGTGGGCTCTGTCTCATTAGACTCAAAAGTTACAAGCCTTATGGCTGAGTTTTATTAAACAATGTTTCCAGCCTGTCTGTGGCTCATGGTTAGTGACTCACCAGCTTTGCGTCTGAATGTGCTTTTCTGTATTTGTTGTAGTCTCTCTTGAGCTCTTCGTAAGTCATGAACTGCAGTGCTCCATGAGACGTGCCGAGCAGACCGGGAACATAACCCTTTTAAAGACATACTCTGTAAGTCGGTCTGACTTGACACTCAAATTCCCACAGTGTGACTTATCCACTGAAAAGCCCACACATCTGTGACTCCCCATCTCTTTACTCTCTGTGTTTATACACCCCTCTGCATTTAATCATTAGTTAGTATTAATCTCTGGCTCTCTTCCACAGTGTGTCTTTTGTAGTGAACCTGGTTAAGCTGGAGGTTTCTGTTAAGGGGAGTTTTTCCTTCCCACTGTTGCCAACTGGTTGCTATAGGGCAGGGGTCCCCAATCCCAGTCCAGGAGGGCTGGTGTCCCTGCAGGTTTTAGATGTGTCCTTGATCCATCACAGCTGATTTAAATGGATAAATTACCATCTCAACTGTCTTGAAGTTCTCCAGAGGCCTGGTAATGAACTAATCATGTGATTCAGGTGTGTTGACCCAGGGTGAGATCTAAAACCTGCGGGGACACCGGCCCTCGTGGACTGGGATTGGGGACCCCTGCTATAGGGGATCATCAGATTGTTGTGGTTTTTACTGTAGGGTTTATACCTTACAATTAAGAGCCTTGAAGGGACTGTTGTTGTGATTTAGCGTTATATAAATGAAAATGAACTTAATTAAATTAAGGGCCCTTGGCCCTATTTTCTCTTGAACTTTAGGTATAACATTTTCGACAGCAAATTACAATTCAATATTGTTAATGAAGAGGCTGACATACTGCTTAAAACCTCCACTCCTGTATAAATGGGTTGTGTTTTTTTCCAGCTAGAAAGGTAGCTGATGCCCTCTAGTGGTGATTAAAGTCAATAGCGCCTACGAGGTCTTCAGTATTCCTATCAAAATAAGCAAAAGTGAGATCTGAGGGGATATTCAGAACACATTAATTTGTCTCCCCACTTAGAAACATGAAAAAGGCAAAATAATTCAAAAAGAAAACATGCCAGGACATCACTCAGCAAACCAACAAAAGCTGCACCAGGGCCGAGCCTTCTCTCTTTAACAATGAGTGTACTTACTCTCAAAATGTGAATATGAAATATGAGTCCTAATCACCACTGAATGTTTGGTGGTAAACCTAATGATCCCCACCACACACAAACACACCATGTTGGTATCTAAGCGAGCAACAGCACAGTCTCTCCTCTGACACCAACAGGTAGTCTGAAAACCACAGTGGGCTATTTTTTTGTCAGGTCTTTAAGGAATTGTTGCTAGTGTGCCATCTCAGTAACAAAGCTGAGATGCCTGTGATTTCTTTCTGAGTGGGTATGCATGTTTAAGCTGAACCAAACAAATGACAGAAAAGCTGCCACAAACGAGGGTTATCAACTTGTTACACTGAATCTCACCATCTGGGACGAGGCAGACACAAAGGAGCATGGACGAGGAAATTATGTCTGTGAGTGTTACTCAACAGGGATAATATTTGAAAGAAGGAAAGTTGAGAATAATTATTTGGAAGTAATAAAGACTACTAAAACATTCTGGCATTAACAGGTGTAGAAAAATCTCCCAGTTTAAGCCACCTCTCCCAAATGTTTAAACTTGCTAACCATGCAATCTTATGCAATCTTACATCATAAGGAACACTAACACGCTCATGTCTCACCTTGTAGAGTCCAGACACTCCTTCATGGCGGTAGATCTTAACCAAAGCATCAAACATCCCCTTGTACTGCTTGCCATTTCGGTCAGCACTGTACTGCAGTACCAACCGGGTCTTGGTCACCCAGATTGGGTTGGTAAGGGTGAGCGTGAGGATGCCTAGGCAAGGACAAGTAAGGAAATGTCACTAGGAAGCACACGTGACTTCTATTACTTTGTTAGACCCATGATTAGCACACAGGCCCCTCAGTGAAGAGTCATTTATTATAATTCAATATCTATGACTTGACGAACAGGACCAAGGACTTCCTGACTTTAAAGTGGTACAGGAAAAAAAGACTTATGTGAAGTTGTGCTAGAGATCTCACACAAATGCCCAGCTTTTTGTGCACAACACAGTTTGGAATTAGCTCACCGTGTCACCAAACTGAACAAGAAGCGCAACAGAGTGCATTTGTGCATTAGGCTCTTTAATGCCTCCCAGGTATCATTCTAACCTTCTCATTCTCATTAGAATGGTGTAAGTGCCTGATGGGGAAAAAAATCAAATCAATAAAACATCTGTTTTGGTTTCACTTTTTATACTGTTGATGGTAGCTATAAAACCTCCCTGTCATCGGCTTCTTCAATTTATTTCCATTGAAAACCTTGTGAAGGCTGTAAATGCCTTTGTTTCCCCCATTCACACAAGCATGTAAGGCTGCCCTGAACCACAAGTAACTAACTCCCTGTCAGTTACTACCAGCTTGTAGCAGTTATATCTAGCTGCTGTTATTGATCATGTGCTGATTATATGGTGGAGGAGTGGTTTTCTGCAGTGCAGCAGTGTTCAAACACGGGTAGTACTAACCAGCTTCAGCCGCTGACACCAGGTGTTCTGTGGCACTCAGTTCAGCCTGACGACCTTCCTTTGTGTACCCTTTGATTGCGTTGTAGCTGTGAGGGAACAAGGCAAGGGCAATAAGACATCTTGCAGTTGTAAAGTCATACATGCTGCTTTTTTCATTCATAGGGTGTTGTACAAACCCGAACATTACGGCTAACAGCTAGATTTTCCAGTTTCAGTGCAGCTAGCAAAACAACAAGCAGCCACTTACTGCTAAAGAGTCAGACAGTGAAAGTGGACAGTACATCCTTGGTTTCTTAACATACAACTCATAGTAACAGCCTGGGACAGCACAAAAGTTATCACCTTATACTCATTTTTAGTTTTAGTGTCCTTGTTTTCTTCTGACTTATCGATTCTGTCACTAATTAGCTAACATAAACTAATGTAAGCCCATTAGCCGCAACCAACCAACGACATGACGTCAGAAGATGGAGTTAAACATGTTTTTGAAACTTTAACTTTTAAGCACTTATTTCTTAAATCTAGCTTCACAGAAAGTGTTACACCTATGTCAGTTTTTGCGAACAGGGCTCCATGATGTAAATTAGCTTTCATGTGTAGTGTTTCATGTCCTCTTTAAAGCTTATAGCTTACGTACAAGAAGAAGTAGAGGCCCCAAGATGCACCAGCACCCCAAACGTTAGGTGTCACGCCTTGATAGAGTCCCCTCAGTCCCTCCTGCTGCCAGACACTCTTCATGCAGTGCACCATGCCACTATACTTCGGTCTTAATTCAAGTCCATCACTTACTGCATTTAAAAGACATTACGGACCTTGAAGTCATATGATACAAATTAAACACATCATAGCAGTAGTTTCTCAGCAGATTCAAGTAAAGTCATATCAGCATGGCACATCAGACACTAAGGAAATAGAAGTTCATATTTTCATGCCGTACCTGCAAACCTGATTTTGACCAGGTCCAGAGGATGAAGCACCAGCGTTGACACCACTCCCCCGCTGAGTCCCGCGATCAGGTTTTCTACCTTCACATGGCTAAAGACCTTCTGTAGTCGTCCGCCAAACGAGACAGCGGACACGGGTTTGCCGGGCAGTCCTGTCTCTGAAACGGGACCGTGATTTGGAGTGGAGCTCATGCTCGTGGGCAACTTGGCTACCTAGC